ATTTGGCAAAGGGGATGCGAGAGGTTTCCATAATGGCTGATTTAATGTTTATGTTTTGCTGTATCCCTCCATCAGGCTCCCCAGGCTAGAATTATATAATAATAATAATAATCCTTGCATTTCATACAGCGCCTTATCACGTCATTGAGCTGTCTCAAAGCGCTTCACTAGATATACTGTGAAGTGTAGTAACTGTGTATTTTGTGGGCAGCCAATCGCACACAGTAGCGTCCCACAAACAGTTGTGGATTGAGTGGCCAAATTTTACCACCCCCGGAAAAGCGATCCACCAATCGACTGACAACTGGGGTTCCTACTTCCCTCTCGTTAAACAGAGGCGTACGTGAGGAGAAAGGAAACTGGCCTAAGGTTTCGCCCTGACCTGCCCGGGAATTGAACCTGGGTCCTCTCACTCGCGAGGCGAGCGGTCAAACCACTGAGCTACGGGACTCCACTAATTCCTGAGAGCGGAAGAAGAAAGGTGGAAAGGCCACCCGCCTGATGGTGGGGTGGGGAAGGGGAGGGAGGGAGAGAGGGAGAGGCCAGGAGGGTAGGGATTGAGGAGGTCGCAGGTGGGACTGAGATGGTGGAGAGACGGGAAAGCGAAATAGAGAACGATCTCGGAGCCAGTCCCGTCAGGCTCGCTGTTATGTAGGTCAGCCTCTGCTCTGGTTCCTGCCAGCGCTGTGGTCAGGGAAATGCATGTGTTTCCATTTGGGGGGAAAAAAGCTTTATATTCCTAACATCTGTTGCTTTGCTGGAAAGCTAAGAGCAGTGTGTCAAAGCAGGAGCCATCCCTCTTGATATTAGCAGTCTGTCACCACATCAAAGCTATCGTTTTAATCTATAAAGTATTTTACATTCCCCCACCCTCCAGCTTGTGAAACGCTTTGAGACGTGGAGTCCTGTAGCAGAGTGGTGAGCGATCTCGCCTCGCAAGCGAGAGAGAGGACCTGGGTTTGATTCCCGGGCAGAGCGAAACCTTAAATAGAATAATAATTTGGTCACTCAACCCACGAGTGTTTGTGGAACACTGCTGTGCGCAATTGGCTGCCCCGTTTTGCCCACAAAACAGTAATCACTACACTTCACAGTAAATCATGTGAAGGGCTTTGAGACATGCTCCCGATGTGAAAGGCACTGTGTCAAAGGATTATTATTATTTTTCTGATTATTATTTTACTATCATTATTCAAACCATTAGGAGGGTGAAATCTGCAGTATTCCCTTCCCTGAACTTAATTATGGCAGTTTTAGCGAAAAGTAATTAACTTTTCAGTAAATTCATCCCCGACTTACTCACAGCAACACGCAAACCAGCGAACCAAATAGCTTAAAGGGTTTACTATTGATATATTTTTGGACGGGAGCCAAAAATGGAGTTCTTTTGAAGTTTGTGCTAGATTTACGGTGCCAGGGCCTGTGGGGAGCAGCCAGAAATTGATAGCCTCTCACTGTAACGGGTGTATTTATCTCCTCTCTCACAATCTCTCTTTGCTTTAGGGACCGTTGTGATGCAATATTCTTGTAAATACGTTGATCTCAACACAGCGCTGTTTGGAATGCCGTTCAGTTTTAATGTGTGTTTTAATGTCCATACCTGACCTGTTCTTTTATTCCCTTCAGAAATTGTTTTTGCTCACCACCACCACCCCCCCAAACACACACACACACACACACAGTCCCGTAGCTCAGTGGTTAGAGCGCTAGAGCACAAGCAAGCGAGAGGACCCGGGTTCGATTCTCGGGCAAGACAAAACCTGAGGCAAGTTTCCTTACTCCACACACACACACACCTCTGTTTACCAGCAGTCAGTAGGAGCCCGGTTGTTAGTCGAGTGGCGAATTGCTTTCCGGGGGTAATAATCCCTTCAAAAAGGATAAATAAATAATAATAATTTGGTCACTCGATCCACGACTGTTGGTGGGACACCGCTGTGTGCAATTGGTGCCGCGTTTCACCTACAAATATACAGTCAATTCACTTTACAGTAAATCCTGTGATGCGCTTTAAGACGTCTCAATGATGGGATAAGGCCCTCCATCAAATGCAAGGATTATTATTATTAAAAAGCCCGGATTGCTTTCCAAATTCGCTGTTCATCTGTGAAGGTATCAATGGAGAAAAAGTTATCTAAGAGCCCCAGAAAATTACTCAATTGTTATGCTATCCCTTCGAGGGTTTCTGCTGTCAGTCTGTGACAGAATTAAGTCACTTTCTTTGGAGGAGGGGTGGGGGAGGGAAGGAAGACAGACTTTGATGAATTTCTCTATCAGCGAGGCAACTTGGGAAATACCTGCGATCTGAAGTTTATAGTGAGTTATGGTCCTTCTCCGTGCGGAGACACTCGCTTATATCTCACCGTGTTGTTGCCTGTCACACCACGTAACACTAATAATACATAATAATAATCTTTGTATCTGATACGACGCCTTAACACGTCTCAAAGCGCTTCACGGAATATATTGTAAAGTGTAGTGACTGTGTATTTTTGGGGGTGAAACACGACAGCCAATTGGGCCCAGCAATTGACCAAATTATTATCATTTATTTACTTATTTATTTGGGAGGGATTATTACCCACGAAAGGCGATCTGCCAATCAACTAACAACCGGGTCCCTACTCATCGCTGGTAGACAGAGTCGTGTGTGTGGAGTAAGGAAACTTTTCATGTCGGGAGGACATCGCGCAGAATTTCACACAGCGCTATATCAAATCCAAGGATTATTATTATTTATTGTTATTATAATATCATCAGCTCATCTCTCTGAGTCGCCTTTAAATCAGACGCCTGTAGATTGGGATTGAAGTGCAGTGTGATTATTATCGTAGGAACGGGGGCTCTCATTAATATTGTCCCTCACATCAGTAACCTGTCCCCAATGTGCTGCTGCTCACAGACTGCATGTGCTGTAGCCCTGTCCATCTGTGCGCTGCCTGGCTATCCATGGCTCGCTCACTCTCTCTGTCTCCGTCTGTCTCTATTCTCCCCCCCTCTCTCTCTCTCTCTCCCTCTCTCATTCTTTCCTTCCTACCTCTTCAGACGCGCTTTGAGACGTCTCGAAGACGTGATAAGGATCTGTCTCGCGTGCAAGGACCATTGGGATCCTGGCCTGCAGCTCAGTTCAATAATAACTGTAATAACTTCTTGACCAGATGAGGAGGAAAATGAGAAGCCGACACAAAGCAAGCCAGTGTTTGGTGCCAGGACAACAGAAGCCTCTTGGAATGAACAGTTATTATTATTAAGAGCCCAAGAATGCAGACAATGGAAAGAATTCTATGAGCACAGGGTTTTGGCGTGAGGCTGGGAGAGAGGTTGGCTCCTGGGTCTGGGTAGTTAGTGCTAACCATGAGGTAATTGGTTACTAATCAGGTTCCCGCTCCCAGAAAACGATGAGATCATAATTTCGTCCGTAAAGCATCGTCCCAAAAGGATCTACCGACACTCATTGACTGGCGTTACGTGGACTTTGTTCGGATGGGGGTTCGATTCAATCTGAATTCCCAAGCTCGTCTCAAAGTGCTTCGCAGGATTATAGTGTGAAGTGTTGGTGGGGACACCGCTGTGCGCAATTGGCTGCCGCCTTTCGCCCACAAATATACAGTCAATTCACTTTACAGCATATTCTGTGAAGCGCTTTGAGATGTTGAGAAGACGTGAAAAGTGCTGTATCAAAGACAGAAAGTGCACTTCAATTTCTCTATCCTTAAAATCAAGGATAAAACTTTAAACCAAGCAGCGGTCACTGGCTTCCTTCACACCACAACCACAGGGAGAACCACACATTGCCACTGATACCTGCTGGTGGCTGACCTGAGGATGTTGTGGGGAGGGAGGGAAGGAGGGAGGGAGTGGGGGGAACGTGCAGTAAATGAGCCCGTGGTCTGTGGTCTCCGTACAATGATTGAGAACACTGTGGGTTGTGAGGTTTTTTACACACTTGAAGCCGTTTTGGCCACACCGTGCGTTCTCACAGCTGCTGTTGGTTACCCTTTGCCAAGTTGGCGTCTGATTCTCTGACTGTATCCAAATGTGTTTGGATTCCACTCTCTCCAAACAGCCCGTGACACAACCCCTTAAGTTAACTCTTTCACACAAAATCTGTCTCTCCTCGTTCCTGGTCAGTAGGTCAAGCTCCACGAACACCCCCCACCCCCCCCCACCCCCCCATCTGGCCATTGAACTGTGTTGTCAAAACTGTGCAGTCCCGTAGCTCAGGGGTTAGAGCCCTCGCCTCGCAAGCGAGAGGACCCGGGTTCGATTCCCGGGCGGGTCAGGGCGAAACCTCAGGCAAGTTTCCTTACTCCACACACACACGCGTGCGCCTCTGTTCACCAGCAGTGAGTAGGAACCCGGTTGTTAGTCCATTGGCAAATCACTTTCCGAGGGTTATAATCCCTTCCAAAAAAAGAAATAGAAATAATAATTTGGTCACTCAATCCACGGCTGTTTGTGGGACACGAGACACAAAGTATACAGTCACTACACTTTACAGTGTATTCTGTGAAGCGCTTTGAGACGTCTCGACGACGTGTTCAAATTATTATTGTTGTTACAAACGCGGATGATGGAACCCTCGCTCTGCGTAGCCGCTGTTGGTCGGAGCCGCTGGGAAAATGTTGTGCGGAATCCGATCTGTCAGTCCTGACAAATGGAGATGGGAATGTCAGAGCGATACCTAGGAATGTTCACTGCGTTCCCCCCGGGGAGCAGCCAGGCCTTGTCAGCTTCCCCGGGAATTTTCCATCCGGAAACGAAGGATAATCAGAACAACATTCCTGACTCGTCACTTCGACCAGAAGTCTCAAAACGCTTTGCGGAATTTTTGGCCGGAGGTGGGGGGGGGGGGGGGGGGGGGGGCAGTGGGGAGTGGGGAGGGGTGGGGCTGAGGCTCGGATGTGCAAAGTATTCACGGAAACCTGGGGAAATAAACCCATCCCATCTCTGTGGGTGGTTGTTTTGACCTGTGTGCTCTGTTCTCTTCCCTTTCCCAGGGGGTACCGCACAGGCCCATGGACGGAGGGCAGGAGAACCTGAGGGTCCCTCACCCGCTGGGGCGTCCCAGAGCCTCCGAGGGTGGCCCGAGGGAGACTCGTCGCGCGGGAGGAAGATGGTGAACGTGGGTACGGCTCGAATCGGCTTCCGCAGCGGCTGAATCGCCCGCCCGCCCACCCAAGGCTCTCCGAGCTCACAGTCTGGGCTGAGGGGGAGAGAGAGAGACACGTTGCCCTTCGGATGAGACGTTAAACCTCATTCGCTCACTCGTCTGTGCCCGGACATCCAAAATTCCCACCACGCTGTTGGGAAAGAGAACAGAGTTTCTCTCTCTCTCTCCCCGTGTCCTGGCCAACAATCCCTCCCCACCCCCCGCCCCTCTCTCAAGATAAACCGGACACTAGCTGAACATCTACCCACCCACCACCACCACCGGGGGGGACCTTTGGAGACAAATTCAAAGCGGACGACTCCACGCGGAGGGGGGAGAACATTAACAGACCCGAGTGGAGTGGAGACAGGTGCGTCGGAGAAACAGCGCCCCCTATCTTCCCCGACTGTCCAGAGCAAGACGGACCTCGCCTAAGAATTATTAAGGATTCATTTGTGGCTCCGATTTTTTTCACACGTGAATGAGAAGGAAAGCACTGCCGGGAAGGTCAGACCTCGAGCCCATTTTGCCACCGAGAGGATTCGAGTCAGACCTGGGCTGCCCGAATATACAAAGATGGATTGCTCCCTGTGTTTGCAGGATATTATATATTTGCTTTTGCTCGAATGAAAACGTCTCTTATCTATAATAATCGTAATAATAATAATAAATATATAGTTACACATCTACAAATAGACATTTTTTTTGTCCACCATCTCGCATCCACAGGAGGTGATGAGGCGGGAATGGCCAGACTAACGCTTAAAATCCAGCGGTACTTCCGGCGCAAACCCATTCGCTTCTTCTCCTTCATCATCGTGTACCTGATGGCCGGGAGCTTGGCCTACCTGCACTCGGGCTTTGTCGGGGACAGCTATTTGGCGTACAAGGATCCGAGGCCCGGGGAGGGCGTGTTGGCGGTTGCCGGACGCCCAGGGCGAGAGGGGCTACAGCGACTGGCCTTGCTCCACCTCGGCCGGGGCTACTCTCAGGCCTTGGAGAGCGATCAGAGACCCGGGGACAAGCACGGAGCTGCCCCCCGGAGGTTCGGCCCCCCCTGGATGAAAGCGGCCTCCCAGGACTCCGGGGATAAGCTCAAACCCGGGGAGCGTGTGGGCAGCTGGAGCAGAGCGCTGAAGGGCAAAGTCTCCCGGGACCTGGAGGACAACAGAGGTACGTCAAACCCTAACTGGAGGGTGAAATGGCAGCCATCAAATTAAGGTGGTGTTTGAATAGGACAAATGTGTAGGGCTATTGGGGTAAGAAAGAGTGGGGCGAGTGGGGACTAGTTGGGGGTAACAGCAGGGGGAATGGGGGACTAGTTGGGGTAAGAGTGGGGGGGGGGGGGTGGAGACTAGTTTCAAAGAGTCAGCCTTCTGTGCTGTAGGATTCTATGATTCAATGGATTAACTGGAGCCAAGCGCAAACATTGCAAGTATGGAGTAGCTAAGCCCCACCTGTAGACTGGGAAGGGTCTGTCTGTGGTCATCTGTTACCTTCACAGGTTCACCAGAGTTGGTTATTTCTAACCCTGCAGAGTGAGTGTTGTTTTTAGCACTGATAGCCCTAGATGTGGGCTTATAGTCAGGTTTGGAGTCCTGTGGCTCAGTGGTTACAGTAAGCGAGAGGGCCCGGGTTCGATTCCTGTTCAGGGCGAAACCTTAGGCAAGTTTCCTTCCTCCGCCGATTGTTTTCCCCGGGTAATAATCCCTCCAAACCAAATTGGTCACTCGATCCACGACTGTTTGTGGGACACCACTGTGCGCAATTGACTGTCGCGTTTCGCCCACAAAAACACACGGTCACTCCACTTTACCATCTTTTGTGTCGAGCGCTTTGAGACGTCTCGATGTTGGGATGAGGCGCTATATGAAATGTAAGGATTATTATTGTTACCGGCAGAGAGGAAGTACAAGATTCCCCATTTGGCATCACGAGTGTGGGACACTAATCTCTTTGCGCAGCATTGCTGTTAATAATGATTTAGCTCATCGTCAGTACCATGGCACATGCCCCCACCCCCACCCCACCCCCCCCCCCCCACCCCGTAAAGTGCTGATCACAGCATTTATTCCATCTGCGTCAATGCAATTTTGTTTTTGACGTGTCTCAGCATTGTCTTGGGCAGGAGGCCTGACCTGGATAGTGCCCAGCAGGAAGGAAGGAAGGAAGGAGGGAGGGAGGGAGGGAATTTCACACAAAGCAGAGTGGACATCTGGAACTCTCTCTCTCTCTCTCTCTCCCTCCATCAAATGTTGGATCCGTTCACATTTTCAAGACTGAGATGGGTAGCTGTTTGTCAGGTTAGGGGATCAGGGGAAATGTGGCAAAAGGCGGGTAATTAGAGTTGAGGTACAGATCAGCCGTGAGCTAATCGAATGGCGGAACAGGCTGGAGGGGCTGACTGGCTTATTCCAGTCCCTGTGTTCCCAAGAGCTGAGTTAACGTGCGTGGCTGGAGCCCAGGTACCGTGGGGTTAATGCTAGTTGGGCTGATGTCGGCCGCGCTCTCACTCTGTCAGTCCCAATAACTCAGCAACACCACCAGCTCGCAGTGAGGTCGAGTACACTTCAACAGGCAACCAACAGGGAGTGCAGGGTCTTCACAAAACCTTGCAGGAAATTACCCCCAAATTCAGATCCTCTTAAGTGAATTATCATCGTTAATAATAATCCCACCTCTCATGTCGGGAGGACGTCTCAAAGCTCTTCACAGGATTCGCTGTGAAGTGTAGTGACTGCGTGCTTTGTGGGTGAAAGCTTTGTGACCAGCAACATCCCACAAACAAGACATCGCTCTCAATGGCCAAGTTATGCGTGGGTTTAGCTGGTTAGACTCCAGCAGTTACCACAACGCACACTCTGGGTCCTCTCCCTCTCTTGCCAACCTGTGCCTGATACTCTCCAGAATTAGGTGAGCAGGATGTGTCCCTCCAGGGAGAGGAGAGAGAGAGAACGTATTCCATTCCAACAATCCGGGATTTCCATGTGTAGGTGGGATGCGGGGAATTCTCAGTTTGGTTTGGAGACTCTTAAGCAACGGTGACAGGTATCCGTGTGTGTTGGACACCCACCCGGCTGACTAAAAAAAATAATAATGATAATAATAATAATTTCTGAGCTGACCTGGGATCACTCGCTGGGAGCCTCACATAGGAAATTCTGTTTCCGAGCACTAAACCTGCACACGGCGCGTCGCTGGGAGGAATCTAGGTCACTGGATTGTTGGCTGGAGGAGCTGTGTCCTGATTGCAAAGTCTCCGCAGTGTTCGTTCGACGAAACCAGGTCACTAACCAGCTGTTTGCAATGTGGAGTCCTGTAGCTCAGTGGTTAGAGCCCTCGCCTCACAAGCGAGAGGACCTGGGCTTGATTCCCTGGTGGGTCAGGTCGGAGCGAAACCTTAGGCAAGTTTCCTTACTCCACACACACACACACGCACACACACCTCTGTTTACCCAGCAGCGGTTGCCTTGCCTAAGGTTTCGCCCTATCCGGGAATCGAACCCGGGACCTCTCGCTATCTACAGGATCCAAATGGATGGATGGGGCTGGGTTTGAGCTGGGACTCACTATGTGGTTGAAAAGCTTACTCAGGAAGCGCGAGGGCCTGAGACTTTGACGTGTTAGTTTTTCCTGTAGTGACTCGGGCACACGCACCGCCATCTCTCCAGCATGTTACTGCATCACTATGGTATGCCCTGCCTGCAGCTCATAAATGATTCATTGCATCAATGCAGCTGCACGGCTCTCCCAGTGTAAGTATTAAGTGGAGTCCTGTAGTGTAGTGGTTGGGAGAGGACCTGGGTTCGATTCCCGGGCAGTGCAAGTTTCCTGACTCCAGCAGTAAGTAATTGTTAGTCGACCAGTGGATCGCTTTCCGTGGGTAATAATCCCCAAAAAAATTGGTCACTCGCTCCACGACTGTTTGTGGGGAGGGCCGCTGTGCGCAATTGGCTGCCGCGTTTCGCCCACAAAATATGCAGTCAATTCACTTGAGGCTTCGAGACGTCTGAACGACGTAACAAGGCTCTTTGTCGTTATACAATAATGACATGGCTCTGTGATTGCCAACCCACCGTCCGCGTAAGACAAGAGCCACCGGACGCTCAGTTTGGCTTTAGAGACTCGTAAGCACGGCGATGGGTTTCCCCGGGTGTCAGACGCCCGGCCAACCCCCCAAAAAATAAACAAAAAGATAAACTTTCAACAGCTCCGCTCTCCCTCTCCAGTGTCGCTCCAGACTGGGACAGAACATTTGGGTGGGTGGAATCTTAATAGATTCCAAATGATGTATAAAAACGTAAGAGCCGTTATCTTGTACCGCAGGCTAATTAAAAACCTATAAAAGCCAAGTTAATGATGTGGAAAAAAGTTTAATAGCGTTCCCGCAGTTTCCGTTTCGTCTCTGCATTCGATCATCGCCTCTTCCACCCCCGGATATCAGGATCGAGATGGAGGGGGTGAGATGTGGAGGAATATTAATAATAATAATAATAATAATAATAATAATAATAATAATAATAATAATAATAATAATCCTCGCATTTGATACAGCGCCTCATCATGTGGTCGAGAGGTCTCACAGCGCTTCACAGCATACGCTGCAAAGTGTAGTGACTGTGTATTTTGCGGGCGAAACACAGCAGCCAATTGCGCCCAGCGACGTCCCCACAAACAGTCGTGGATTGAGCGACCAATCTTTTTTATTGGCCATCCGTCAATCGATGAACAACCGGGTTCCCACTTACCGCTGGTGAACAGAGGTGCGCGTGTGTGTGTGTGTGTGTATATGTGTGTGTGCGGAGTAAGGAAACTTGCCTAAGGTTTCGCCCGGGAACCGAACCCGGGTCCTCTCGCCCGCGAGGCGAACCCTCTAACCAACGAACTACGGAACCTGGCGAGGAGGGGAGATGGAGTGGTTCAGCGGAGGGTGAGAGGGGCTTAATTGCTGATCTTCTCAACCTTAAACACGCTTAAACATTCAGTCGCACTGTGTTCCCAGATTAGATTGAGTTTCCATTAGGAGGACATTCAGTCATCTCCGGTTCTGACCCTATTGTTGTTATATCTGACAGAGAATTACATCGTAATCACAAATATTGCCCCCCTCCCCCCACGCGGCTTTTTATTTTAACATAATTGAAATGGCTCCTGGCGGTGTCTCGTCGTTATTTGATTGATCGCTGCTGTATACCAGTCTCTCTCTCTCTCACTCCGAGTCAGACGGGGGGAGAAAACCTATTACAATTGGCTTTGTGAATGTCAACCCACGTATCAGAGACTTGAGCGATTAGGACTGTTTATAATGTGTCTCGTTCGCCAGCCACGATTCACAGAGAGTTCTCTCTCGCTCTCTCTTGCTCGCTCGCTTCGGAGTCAGAAGCTTGTGGGTTCGAGCCCCCCTCCATGCGCTGAGGACTCTCTGAGCGCACGTAGTCTGGGCTGACACTCCAGCCCAGCGCTGGGGGGGGGGAGAGAGAGAGTGCCGGATTATCAGAGACGTCATCCTTCTCTGCCTAAATAGTCAACGGGGGGCGGGGGAGGGTATTTCATGGTGTCCGCAAGATGGGTTGTTAATGCACGCTCCCTCCCCCCTACCACCCCCCCCCCTCCGCTGATGTTTTATGAGCAACAATTACAAGGTGAACACGGCCAGATTATTAATTTGCCCTTTTGTCCGAGAAGCATTAAAGTGTAGCACTGTTTGTTCACGAAGGCTGTAAAGTTAAGTGATCCGTCGCTGTGCCTGGCCATTACGATGCCGGATGTCTTTCCCCCCCAAAATCTGCCCCCCCCGCCTGTCCCCCCCACACACACAGCCCCACGCTCGACAATTACAGTAAACGACAGACGTTAAATTGGCTTCCTGTCACATTTATTCCATAATTCGCCTCGTTTGTTGAATTTGGCTGCTTTGGCTAACACACGCACGTACACGCACACACACACACACACACGCTACACACACTCGTGCGCACACTCGCGCCCCCAAGCAGAGCAAATGAGGAGAGAAGCACTGACTGGAACGAATCAGTTTCCAATTGATTAATTAACTGGAAATTTTAATCAGCGGAAACTGACACAATCAATTAATCTCGGCTCGCCCTGTCACGGAGCCACTGAATGGTGCAGAGCTTGACAGACGCACACAGCGAGACTTCCCTCATGTCCAATAATAATATAATAATAATCCTGGCATTTGACCCGGCGCCTTATCACGTCTTCGAGACGTCTCAAAGCGCTTCACAGGATACACTGTAAAGTGAATTGACTGTATATTTTGTGGTCGAAACGCGGCAGCCAATTGTGCACAGCAGCGTCCCCGCAAACAGCCGCGGCTTGAGTGACCAATTTTTTTTATTTTTATTGGTCCAAAGGATGTACAAGAGAATAAGTTCCCTTGTTTCGGGTGGGTTTAGGTCTCGCCTGACACCCCAGCACAGTGCTGGGGGAGTGCTGTAATGTTGGAGACGTTAAACCTCACTCCTCCCCGTCTGTGCCCTGTTCAGGTGGACGTCAAAGATCCCCCTCGTCGCTGCTCGAAAATAGACAGGAGTTTCTCTGTCTGTCTCCCGGTGTCCTGGAGGACAATTCCAACAATCTGTCTCTGGGATTTCCACCTGTAGGTGGGATCCATGGAAATCACAGCTTGGTTTGGAGACTCCTAAGCACCGGTGATGACTGTTTGTGGGACGCTGCTGTGCGCAATTGGCTGCCGTGTTTTGCCCACAAAATACACTCCACAGTGTATCCCGTGAAGGGCTTTGGGACGTCTCAATGACCTGATAAGGCGCTGTATCAAATTCAAGGTTTATTATTATTATTATTATTTACTGTTTGCCTTTTTAACCAGAGTCAGGAAGCGAATCTTTTTTCTACACAGAAAAAAACGGCCTATATATAAAACCGCTGGCATAGCCCAACACTTGTAAATTAAACGCCAGAAACGAAAGGTTAAGACAATTTAATCGCCCACGTTTGTAGACACTAATCCTGAATGTTTTGTTACAGCGGGATACTCGATGGGAAGGGAAACTCCTGGGAATTTCAGTGGCAAATATTAACAGCCTCACACCTCGTGATAATCCTTTAAGCAGCGATTCTCAAGCTCTTGAACAATTCACAAAGATTAAGCCACGTGTCTGCCTCGAAAGTAGCATTTTAATCAAAAAAATGAATTAATTTTGGTCAGCCACCCATGCTTAAGAGTATCCAAACCAAGCTGCGACTCCCCTTTGCCTTGTCACGTCGTTGAGACGTCTCAAAGCGCTTCTCGGGATATACTGTGAAGTGCAGTGATTCTGTGGGCGAAACACAGCAGCCAATTGTGCCCGGCAGCGTCCCAAAAAACAGTCGTGGATTGAGCGAACAATTTTTTTTTTCTGGAGGGATTATTACCCCCGGAAAGTGATCTGCCATTTGTGTGTGTGGAGTAAGGAAATTTACTCTAAGGTTTTCCCTTGCCTGGGAATCGAACCCGGCTCCTCTCGCTCGTGCGCCGAGTTCTCTAACCGCTGCACGACAGGACTCCACAGGGCAGGGGATTCAGGAAGGATGAGATAGCTAAATGTCCTTCACATGAACATCTCCTCGTTGCCTCTCTGAACGAGGTGCCCAATTAGTTCTGAATTATGGCTGGTTTTCCTGACGCCGCAGACCTCTTCCCAACAGAAACTGGGGAGAGATGGATGAGTCTCGCTTCACTGCACACCCCGAGCCGTAGCTCCGCGGAAAGTGCACTCGATCCTCCTTCCATCTGTCTGGGCTGGAATCCAGGATCTCGGTGTGCGAGAGCAGGGTCATTCCCCTCCACACCCCGACACCGGCCTTTGTGCTGACAGACTGCAGGCCCACGCAATCCACAAACCTTCTGCCCCGCATTTATAAACAAACCCTGTGCGTCTCGTCACCTCATCGAGACGTCTCAAAGCGCTTCACAGGCTACGCCGCAAAGTGGAGTGACTGTGTATTTTGTGGGCGATAGGCAGCAGCCAGTGTCCCACAAACTGTCGGGGATAAGAGTGACCGACTCATTGGGGGGAGAGTCAGCCTAGACTGTGAGCCCAAAGCCCTCGATGTGTGTGCGGGGGGGGGGGGGGGGGTCGAACCCACAACCATCTGACCCGAAGGCCAGAGTGAGCAGGCCAGACCTTGTAAAAATTGCTGCCCACTCAGCTTTCTGAGCCTCGATCGATACGGAATTCAATGGTGATGACTTGTGACTGAAGCCATTCTGGTCACTTTCTCATTGACTTCAGCTGAAACAGAACCTCCCGCACTGTCACTGAGCGCAGCCCCTCAGCCGCAGCATCACGGCTGTCAGCGCGGCCAACAACATCACGGCCGCTGCGCTCCCAGAAGTCGGAGCACTGTCGGAGGCTCCATCCTCGCTTTCCTTCCTCCGCACACTCGCCTCTGTTTACCAGCAGGGAGTGGGAACCTGGTCGATTGGCAGGTCACTTTCCGGGGGTAATAGACCCTTCAAAGCGCTTCGCAGAATATACTGTAAAGTGTCGTGACTGTATACTTGTGGGCGGAACGCGGCAGCCAATTGCGCACAGCAGCGTCCCCACAAACAGTCGTGGGTTGAAGTGACCAATTTAGTACTGTTTTTTGGGGGGGATTATTATCAGGCGCCTGTGTGTGTGGAGTAAGGAAACTTGCCCAAGGTTTCGCCCTGACCGGCCGGGAATCAAACCCAGGAGGACGTCCCAAGGCGCTGGACAGTTAAAAAGATTTGCACTTGAGCTGGAGATCGGGATCCAGAGGGTGTGGGGAGGGTGGGGTTAGGACGGTGACGGCAGGCGTGGTCGATGAGGAGGGTCTTGACATGGGGCTGTGGGATGGAGTTCCAAAGAGTTGGTGCAGAGTGGCTGAAGCCTCGTTTCAGGCTCGAGATGAACGGCAAGTCTTACCTGGTGTTGCTGTTCCTCACTTGTTTTTTGCTCCCCATGTGAGCAGCCAGGACACCTGTTATCTGTTACCTCCAACGCCTGTGGAGCTCAGCTGCCTCGTGAGACAGAGATACATTGGAACTGGGCAGCCATCCAGAGTCTGCAAGCAGCGCAGTAATTCAGAGCAGTTGGATACTCGGAGATGAAGCCAAGGAGGGTTTTTTTTTGGTCAACCATTTTAGCATCGTCTTTGAAGCCAGTTCTTTTTTTCAACCACTCCCACTCCGTCTCACACCTCCCTCTCCCCTGCCATCTGCCCTCTTCGTAGAGTCTCGTAGTATAGTGGCTAGAACCCTCGCCTCACAAGCCACAGGACCCGAGTTCGGTTCCCGGCCGGGCCGGGTGGAACCTTAGACAAGTTTCCTTTCTTCACACACATGCCTATGTTTTTCTAGGAGTAAGTAGGAACCCAGTTTTAGTCGATTGGCAGATTGCTTTCTGAGGATAATAATCCCACAAAATAATAATAATAAACACTGGAGCCTCAGACAAGACTTAGACCCCCTCAAATAATGGAACTTATTCTCTTGTACGTTCCTGGGACTAATAATAATAATAAATTGGTCGCTCAATCCACGACTGTTTGTGGGACACTGCTGTGCGCAATTAATTGGCTGCCACATTTCGCCCAAAAAAATTATATTCTGTGAAGCGCTTTGAGACGTCTCAATGACATGTCAAATGCAAGGATTATTCTCCTTATTATTGCTGTCTTTTAAACTCCTTTTCTCTGCCTTTTCCCCACACCCGCTTTGATTTTCAAGTACCTATTTGTAATAGTAATAAGTGCCAGAGAGAGAGAGAGAGAATCATTATTTTCAATAACAAGCGAGAGACCAGACAGGTATTGCCGGACGAACACCCCTGAGGGTCGCTGTGAGAGATAGAGATGGATGTCCTCAGGCCCTCAGTCGCCCCATCGCCATCTGTTATCATCCGCACAAAGCGCTCAAGTGGGACAATGGCCGAGAGTAGGATTAAGCTCAGTGATCAGGAGAAGTGAAGACTGTGGAGTCTGCCAACCCAAACCCTGAGTGACTGGTGCAGGAACCTGGCGAGAGAACAACAACAACAGCTTGCACTTACACAGTGTCCTCCACGCACGGTAGCGTCTCAGAGCGCTTAACACTGGCGGATGACAGGGAAAAGGCTGGAGCCTCACTTCACCTCGTGTCGGTTACCAGCCTCTAACCTGCCACGTTTCTCAAGTGGTTTCTCCCCCCACCGTGCCGTGCGACTGGGGTGACAGTCGCCGTGTCAGACACGAGGCTTAGTGTCATCTGTGTGTCTCACGCCCCATGGCTTGTGTTTGCAGCGAGATACGTGGGCTGTTATCTGGACAGCACGAAGCACAGAGCGCTGAGGGGAAGTGCCTTCTTTGACTACAGGAAGATGACCGTGTTCCGTTGCCAGGATAACTGCGCCGAACGGTAAGGGCCGTCTCGTGCCGACACCGATCAGGTTTATTCACCGGTGGGTGGTGGGGGGTGGGGTGGGGGGTGGTGTGTGTGTACTGAGAAACTTCAGTGAAGGTCCGTACAACAAGGCAATTGCTAGCACTTTCCTGACACCTTTCAGCTCACAGGAATTTTTCGCCAATGAGAACAGATTGGGAGACACCCGAGGGGAGGGAGTTATAGTAATAATAATAATAATCCTCACATTGGACCCAGCTCCTTATCACGTCGTCGAGACGTCTCAAAGCGCTTCACGGGACACACTGTAAAGTGAATGGACTGTGTGGGGAAAACAAGGCTGCCAACTGGGCCCATCACTGTCCCACTAACAGTCCTGGATTATTTTTGGACGCATTATTACCCCCATTATTATCCGCCAATCAATTAACAGTCGGGTTCCTAATTACTGCTGGTAAACAGGGGCGTGTGTGTGTGTGTCTGTGTGTGTGTGTCTGTGTGTGTGTGGGGTAAGGAAACTTGCCTAAGGTTTCGTCCTAACTGGGAATCGAACCCGTGTCCTCTGGCTTGTGAGGCGAGCGCTGTAACCCCTGAGCTACAGGACTGCACTAAACTATGTCCACCTAACAACACTTACAATACAAAGCAAGTGTTTACCAGTCCAGAGACATGGATTCAGGTTCTAATTGTTTGCTTACTTTATGGTTATTCTTGTCCGGTTATTGTATGGCTAATGTACGGTGTTTGGACGGCTATTGTAACCGGTCTCTCTCTCTCTCTCTCTCTCTCGCCTCTCCAGGGGCTATCAGTACGCAGGCCTGGAGTTCGGAGCTGAGTGTTACTGTGGGCACAAGATCCAAACGCAGAACACGAGCGAGACCGAGTGTAACATGAAATGCAAAGGAGAGAAAAGCAGCGTGTGTGGGGGAGGGAACCGCCTCTCCGTGTACCAGCTCGAACTGACCCAAGACTCCGCTAGACGCTGTGAGCCTTTTTACCCCATCTTCAAATCCCCCTTCGCGCCCACGCCCCTCTCCCGGCTCTGTGTGGCATGTTAACAGCTCTGCTCCTGACCCCCCACCCCACCCCCACCCCGCGCTCGTCCCATTTGCAACCTCACTCTCTGTTAAACCATATTACGCAGCGTCCCATCAAATATTTAGAGCATTCCAGCAGGCATTACACTTTAATGTGAGTGGAAGGAGCGCGGGAGATATCTGTGTGGTTTTTTACTGTGCCTCATCCTTTAATTAGAAGCTTCTAATTTAAGAGATACACAAACCAGCAATGGGGATTTCGCCTGCCAGGAGCAGTAAAATGGGGGGTGGCGGTTATTAGATCAGGATATAAAGAGATACGGGGCAAGGCCGGGGAATTGGAGTCGAGCTACAGATCGTCCGTGATCTAATAGAATACCAGAACAGGCTCGAGGGGCTGAACGGAGCAAGGAAGTGTTGCCTAAGGTGTCGCCCTTTGTCCAGCGAGGACCACCCCACCCAATTAGTGAGGGCTTTGGCTGTGGGTTACCAGGAGCTGAGGGGGAGGATTCCCGGCCCCCAGTGACTGGTCGGCCCTTCCAGGTCCTGCCGATGGGCCGGGGCAGGGCTGTGCTGCCATCAGCGGTGAGAGCCCCGGGATACTGCGGCCCCTCCTGGCTCAGGAACCGGGACTAGAGACCGGCACAGAGGGTTGACATTGCGTCGCCAGGCAGGTCACCTCCTAGTCAGTTCGGAACCCCAGTTACCTCCCCTCCCCTCTGCCCAGGAGGATTTGCACATTGTTTTGCACATGGCGTAAAACAATCTCCTTGTATCTGGAACAGAAACAACGAGCTGTGTAAATAATTTAGCGTTCTGTATTTATTTAAAAGGGAAGAGCAGAAGGATCTTTGCCCACGGACATCAATCAAAATCCATTCATAATTAATGCTAATAATTACTGCGGGTGAGAATGTTACCTTCCTCGGCAATTAGTTTTAACGATGACTTTCGCCCTTTATTGATGAATCAGCTTTGGGTTAATCCCCCCTCACCCCCACCCCCCCCACCCCACCTCCTCACCGTCCGACTGAGGGATATTAATAACAATAATCCCTGCATTTGATACGGCGCCTCATCACGTTGTCGAGACCTCTCAAAGCGCTTCACAGGATATAGTGTAAAGTGGAGTGGCTGTGTGTTTTGTGGGTGAAACCCGGCAGACAATTTGCGCTCAGCAGCGTCCCCACCTGGAGTGAGCGACCGACTTTATGTGGAGGGGAGAGAGAGAGGAACTCCTGAGAGGAGTGAGGTTTAAGGTCTCATCCGAAGGGTGGCGTCTCCGACAGTGGTTGCAGTTCTGCCCCCAGCGCTGCGATGGAGAGTCCGCTCGGACTGAGTGATTCCAAATGGTTTTCCCCAACACAGCTGCTGTTTAAGCAAGTCCCAGTGTCCTGACTTCAATTACCCTTCCAGTCGTTAATTAGTAAAGAAAAAAATTCCTGGTGTCTGTCCTAAAGTTGGCTTCCTTCTCCACTCCCAAGCCCCCTTCCCTCCCTCTCTCCGCCCCCCCCACCACCACCACCGCCGTCGCTCTGAAATAATATCCTCTAATTTGATTATTGCCGTGATCGTGTTATTTTTTTTTGCCGATTGAATAAACAAGCTCTGAGTTGGGTAATTCCTCAGAGCGACAGCAAAATGATGTATTAAAAAAAACAATCATTGTAATCTTCTTTAACCGAAGGGATCCGCAAATTAAATCACGTTTGGCTTCCTCACTGCGTCTTCCCAACACATTAACACTCACAACAATTTGGACAGGAATCCATCAAACTGATCAATTTCAGTCCCAAGGCCCGAAATTCCTTTTAGTTCTATAATAATAATAATAACGTTTGCATTTGATATAGTGCCTCATTATCTCACCAAGATGTCTCAAAGCGCTTCATGGGAATTCACTGTAAAGTGTAGTGACTGTGTGTTTTGCTAATTTGCGCACAGCGACATTCCCGCAAACAGCCATGAAGTGAGCGACTGAATTTATTGGGGTGGGGGGTGTGTGTGGGGGGGGGGGGGTGGGGGGGTGTGGGTGGTAATTGTTGAGCAGGACACAGTGGGGGAGAGAGAGAGAGAGAGAGAGAGACGCCCTTCTCTTTGCGAGAGTGTCAGCCTGGACTGTGAGCTCAGACACCGCCTTACTTCGCGCTAACCAACCGGAGGTGGACACCCTCTGTTGAGCGACGAACGAGATGGAAACGTCACACGGAGCCTCAACACGCCATGTGTCGCTCGCTTTGTCTAACCACCTGGCGGCTTCTCTCGGGGAGCGAAGGCTTAAGCAGTCATTTAATCTGATTGCTGTTTATGGGTCACTCTCGCTGACAATGCTCTAATTACCATTGTTGACGAGGTAACGGTGCATAAATTAGGTCATCGGCTGCTCACGTTTGACGATTCTAACAGGAAGCTAATTAAGCTCGACTTGACTCAGTTACGCTTTGCGAAGGGAATAATCCAGACTCCAGACTGATTCATTGCTGTCAGCCTCCACCTCCCCACCTGATGAAGTCACGTCATTTGCGTTGTTTCCCCTTTTTGCTCAGTCGCTGTGTGCCGGCCTCGCTCAGTCGCTTGCAATCTCGCCTCCGAGGCAGAAGGTTGTGGGTTCGAGCCCCCGAGGTCGGGGACTTTGAGCTCACAGCCGAGGCTGACGCACAGTTCAGCGCTGGGGGGTGGGGGGGAGAGAGAGAGAGACCACCACATTGTCAACACCCGTTTGCTGCTCGCGAATTAGCTGCCGGGTTTCGCCCACAAACACGCAGTCACTACACTTGACAGTGAAACCCCGTGAAGCGCTTTTGAGAGACGTCCCGGGGGGGGAAGCTTCTTCCAGTAACTTTGCCTCGCGCGGTCAGTATTTGATTGAAACGTCAAATTTGACTTGCTCTATATTTAAACATTAATCCTGATCAGTTAGTGTAATGTAGTGCGGAGACACAGAAGAACAGGCTATAAATCTTCGCTTCCGCTGTAAAAAAAAAAGAAAAAAATCCCATCTTTCATGCGTCATATCTTTCTTGGCAGCTTTCCTTAATTTTGCAGATGAATTTTATTCCTTGTGCCACTTTTAACACGTTTGATCGGGTGTCAGCCTGGCTCTCGCCGCCGAGTCAGAAGGTTGTGCTCTCAAACTTTTGAGCTCACCCAGCGCAACACTGGTGGGGGGTGGGGGGGGGGAGAGAGCGAGAGAGAGCGCCGCATTGTCGGAGGTGCCGTCCTTCGGGTGAGACGTTAAACCTCACTCCCCGTCCGCGCCCTGTTCAGGTGGACGTTAAAGATCCTGTCGGGGGAAAAAGAGAAGAGAATTTCTCTCTTCTCTCTCTCTCCCGGTGTCGTGGCCGACAATCCCACCAGATAAAATCGCTCGGTCACTTCACGGTTGCTTGCGGGGGGGGGGCGCGTCGCTGAGCTGAGCGCAAATTGGCCGCCCACAAAACACACAGTGAAATCCTGTGAGGGGCTTCGAGACGTGCTCCCAACGCGAGTAAAATTGGTCACTGGCTCCGTGGCTGTGTGCGATTGTGCCGTGTCAAATGCACAGATTATTATTACTATTGTTATTATTACTAGTATTACTATTATTATTGTTGAACCCCGCCTTCGTGTGTCTGATTGCAGACGGCAGTGCTGTGTTCCGAGGCTGCTTTAAGAAGCCGGGAAACGTCTCGCTCGCTCTCCCAGCGAGCAGCGTGTTGCTCAACATGTCCGTGGAGAAGTGCGTGGAGTTCTGCACCGAGAAGGTAACTTGGGTTGAAAAGGGACGAACGGGCCTTGAGCTGCCTTTGCCATTTGACACAGCGCCTTCTCACGGTGTCGAGACGTCTCTGCGGTGACTGTGCAGGATGGTGGAAGGCAAACCGGATGGACCTTCTGACCAGCGAATACTTATACTGACCTGTTGTCTCTCTCTCTCTCGCTCTCTCTCTGTGTCTCAGGAGTACACGCTGGCGGTGTTAGGGGGAACGTCCTGTCACTGTGGCTTCCCCACTGTACGCTTCACCCTGCACGAGCCGGAGGACGAGAACCTGTGCTTGCAGCGCTGTGCGGGCGAGGAGCTCGAGAACTGCGGCAACGAGGAATACTTTGTGGTTTACCAAACGCAAGTACAAGGTCTGGCCGTCTTCTACACAATAGAAGACCTTTCTTTTCGACTGCGCCTTTGGTCACCTTCCCCCCCGCCTCCCCCCTCCCCCTGGCTTGGCCCCCCTCCCCCTTGGCTCGGCCTCGGGATCCGTTACTGTGAAGCGCTCTGAGACGCCGCCCGGGGTGGAGGGCGCTGTATAAATCCAAGTTGTTGTTGTTGTTGTTGGGATCACCTTAGATTGGTTTGGACGTGGGCTGACGCTCGCTAACACGGTAACCGCCCCTCTCCGACCTGCGGTGAATAACCCGACTCCTTGTTGCCCGCAGACAATCGCTGTATGGACAGGCGCTTCCTGCCCACTCGCTCCAAACGCCTGGTGGCTCTGGCCAGCTTCCCGGGGGCCGGCAACACATGGGGGCGTCACCTGATCGAGCTCAGCACGGGCTATTACACCGGCAGCTACTACTTTGACGGCTCGCTGTACAATAAAGGTGAGAGAGAGCGAGAGAGAGAGAGAAAGAGAGACGCTTCCCTTGTCCTGGGAGCGAGGGGAGGGGAGGGGACTTGCCTCGTGTCTCCCTCCTCACCGCGCCACAAGCCGAGCGGAGGCAGCGGGTAGTGTATAAGCGGTTTATCGAGGTGCCTTTCAAGGCTGAAGAGCCCCAGCTTATCGAGTTGTTCCACACAGCTTATTGCTCCAAACAAGATCAGTCCTCATGGCCCCAGTCATTGGGATGTGCTATCTCCACTGGGGGATGATTGGCAAAGACTCTTAAAATGAGAGAGCGCGGCGGATAAGAGCAAAATATTTTAAAAGCCGAGCGAAATGCTCACCAGGACACAGAAGATTAGAGCAACGAATCCTACCCTCATTATAAAGCTTCCCGCTTGTAACTCTATCAGCACGGCACATTACAGGCTACTTAAAAAGGTTCAATTACAACATATATTTTTTAGCTTGCGCCCTTCGGGGACTTTGCCACGATGTGTTTTTGTCTCAGTCTGTGGCTCAGTTGGTCGAGACGTGAAAGGGGGCTATATATCGAATGTGAGTGTCAGTTGTATGACATAGCGCCTTATCACGTCTCGAAGCGCTTCAAAGGAAACTCTGGAGTGTGTATTTTGGGGGCGAAACGCGGCAGCCAACTTGCGCGCAGCAGCGTCGCCACAAACAGTCGTGAAGCGAGCGGCCAATTTTTTTTTGGTGGGGTGGGGGAATGTGGGCCGGGACGCCAGGCTGGGGTGGGGGGAGAGAGAGAGAGAGAGACTCCCTTCTCTTTTCCAACCGAGGGATCTTTAACAGAACGGGGGGAGTGAGTGAGGTTTAAAATCTCATCCGAAGGACGGACTAATAACCCGAGAATACCTGACGATCTGCATTCAAGTTTCCTCCGGCAATTTAACCTCCTGTTTTTTTCCGCCTGTAAATAAACCTGGGTTTGCGCTCACTAAGCAGAGACAGTGAAGCGAGAGGGAGAGATTGAGAGATTGAGAGAGAGCGAGAGAGAAAGAGAGAAAGAGAGAGAGAGAGAGAGAAATCGTGTCTGGTGCTTAGCAAAAAATAGGATGATTTTATCTCTAAGGTTACCTTAATGAAACATGAATACAAGTTAAATACGTTTTAACGGTTGCTTAGTTACAAACGATTTTGGGAGCAAAACTGCGGAAAGGCAGCTCCAGCTGTAACACACGCTTTCCCACTCTCTCCCCCCCCCCCTCTCCCCCCCCCTCGCTCTCGGTACGTATATAGGTTACTGCTGAATTTAGTGCTTAAAGTGCGCCTTATCACGTCGTTGAGACGTCTCAAAGCGCTTCGCAGGATATACAGTAAAGTGAATTGACTGTGTATTTTGGGGGCGAAGCGCGGCGGCCGATTGCGCACAGCGCAGCGTCCCCACAAACAGCCGCGGATTGAAGTGACCACGTTATTTTGTTGAGGGATTATTAGCGCCGGAATCGAACCCGGGTTCTCTGGCTAACCCCCGCACTACGCAGGACTCCACGGCTGTTTGCACGTTGGGGAGGGGAGGGGAGGGGAGGAAGGCGGGTGAAGGATCTGAATGGAGAGCTCCAACAGATAGCCAGCGCAGGTTCGCTAGGCCGAATGGCCTCAGTCTGTGATGTGCTGTCAAGTTCCCTGGGTTCTCAGTGTCTTTCTCGTCTCCGTTGGTCCCAGGGTTTAAGGGTGAACGAGACCATTGGAAAAGTGGCCGCTCCATCTGCATAAAAACCCACGAGAGCGGGAGGAGAGAGATCGAGGCCTTCGACGGGGCCATCCTTCTGGTCCGAAACCCCTACAAGGCCCTGATGGCAGAATTCAACCGCAAATATGGGGGGCACATCGGCTTCGCCTCCGAGGCTCACTGGAAAGGGAAAGGTAAGATGTGTGGAGGTGCCTTCCAGCACCCAATCTCCCTTCCTCCTCCTCCTCCTCCTCCTCTCCCCCCGCCCCGCCCTCCCGACCATCAACGGGCGGCTCCAGCCTCTCTTTCCCCCACCCTTTGGAACTCCATCCCACACTCGCGCCACGTGGACCGCGCTCACCCCCCACCCCCACCCCCCCCACCCACTTTGCCTCCTTCAAGGCCCATCTCAATTCGCTTTTTTCCAAACCCAGGTCCTCTTCCTCTTCCTCTCTCTCTCTCTCTCTCTCTCGCTCGCGAGGCGAGTGCTCTGACCTCTGCACGCAGTCACTTCACTTTACAGTGTATCCCGGGAAGCGCTTTGAGGCGTTCCCGCCCGCGGTGATACGGCGCTGCATCGAAGGCGAGGACTGTTATTATTGTTACACGGTCCTCAGTCAGTCCCTGGTCCTGAACGCTCTGTCTCCCATCACCGGCAATACAATGTCCGCAAATAAGGACCATTAAAGATCCTGAGCAAACCGTCGCCCCCAGCAACCGAGTTTGACTATTTACTCGGGGAAGGTTACGCGAGGGGTTGACATTCACAGTGTGTGCTGGTTAGACCCGTAGTCTTGGCAACTGACGATCATTTCGCACCGGTTGACGTCAGTGGTATTTTGGGGCCATCGCCATGGAGACTGAGCGTCAATGCTTCTGGTGGTGGCCGGCCCGAAATTCCGCCCAGTCCTAGTCCCGCGACGCCCGCTTGGCCTTAGGATGGAGGCGCTCGGGGTGGGGTCAGGCCCAGCTCGGCTGGTCCCGCTCTCGCCTCCCGAGTCAGAAGGGAGCTCGCAGTCCAGGCCGAGGCTCCAGCCCAGCGCTGGGGGGAGAGAGAGAGAGAGAGACGCATTGTCAGAGACGCTGTCCTTGGGATGAGACCCTAAAACTTCACTCACTCCCCATCTGTGCCCTGTTCAGGTGGACGTTAAAGATCTCTCCCGGAGCGCTATTGGAAAGGAGAAGGGAGTTCCTCTCTCTCTCTCTCTCTCGCTCTCTCTCTCCCGGTGTCCTGGCCGACAATCCCCCCCCCTTCCCAGATAATATCGGTCGCTCACCTCACGGCTGTTTGTGGGGACGTCGCTGTGAGCAAATTTGCTGTTGCGTTGCCCCGCAAAATGCAGGGTCATTACGCTGCAAACCCCGCCAACGTGGGTGGCGAGGGGACTGGTGGGTGCATCGCAAGACATGCAAATTGTCTGCCTGCAAAACACACAGTCACTGCACTTCTCAGTGGTAACGCAGTGAGGCACAGAGAGGCGTTCTGAGGCGAGAGGTCTCGGTGATTAAGCCATGAGGAGAAAGCTGCTTAATTGACATAGAGAGGCTTTGAAGATGAAACAAGAGCAATGTTTCAAACACTGGTTTGTGTTTCTCTCTCAGGTTTGTCCCTCGATGATCAGCGCAATAAGAATGGTTTCCACACACAAGCACACACTCACACACACTCACACACTCACACACACTCACACACACTCACACACTCACACACTCACACACACTCACACACACTCACACAGAGACTCACACACTCACACACACTCACACACACTCACACAGAGACTCACACACTCACACAGAGACTCACACACACTCACACAGAGACACACACACTCACACAGAGACTCACACACTCACACACACTCACACAGAGACTCACACACTCACACACACTCACACACACTCACACAGAGACTCACACACTCACACACACTCACACAGAGACTCACACACTCACACAGAGACTCACACACACTCACACTGAGACACACACACTCACACAGAGACTCACACAGAGACTCACACACTCACACACACTCACACAGAGACTCACACACTCACACAGAGACTCACACACTCACACTCACACTCACATAGGGAGGGAGAGAGAAAGGGAGACTTGGCCTGGTCACTCCGTACCAAGTTACCAACAATATACAGTCAAAAAGCACTTTACAGTATGTCCAGTGAAGCTCTTTGAGATGTCTCGACGCCGTGATAAGGCGCTGTACCAAATGCCGGGACTATTATGATAAACTCGTGAGTTGGGAGTGTTGGGGGGGGTTGGAAGGAAGGGATGGGGCCATCGCAGATCAGGCCGATTGAATTATATCTTGGAATGTGGCCAAGGGAGGGAGAGAGAGAGAGGGAGAGAGAGAGAGAGAGAGCGCTCCAGGGAATGCTCAATGATATGCACAATTGAGCTGTATGATTGTTTGAAATTAAGAGTAATATATTGAGTGTTATTTCCGTGGCCTGTTTGAATTAAGAAGCAGAGTATTTTATTAGGCGGGCAATTAAAGCGGCCTTAATAGACAGGCACAGCGTAATGAGACGTAACTTTAATCAAGCCACTGAAAGGTTTGCGTAGCAGTTGGGGTGCAAAGCGATACGGACCTGCTTACTCCCCAACCCACCATCCCCTTGCCCCACCGCTCGGCTGACTCCCCTCATGCCCTCCGCTCCACCATCGGTGGCTTTGCTTTCAGCCGCTACGCCCCGAAGCTTTAGAACTCTCGCCCTCAATCGCTCCACCTTGTCCCCTCCTTCCCCTCGGACGACCTTCCTCTTCGACCCGTGCCTACGGTCGCCTCCTCCCCTCCCCCCCCCCCCCCCCCCCGGGCTCGGTGTCGTGGTCCTCCACTGACAAGCGCTCTGAGATGCTCCTCTGCACTGGGCAAATGCAAGTTGTTGTTGTTGTTGATGTGAAGTGACCTGGAGGTGTGGCGTGGAATTGTCTGGTTTGCCCCCCACCCCATCCATACCCCTCAAGGCCCATCCTCACCCCCCCCCCCACCCTTCTCCCCTCACCGCCCCCCTCCTCCCCTCACACCCCCCCCCCCACCTTGAAATCCAACCTCACTCTTTCCGTCTCCCCCTCTCTCTCTGATTGGCAGAGTGGCCGGAGTTCGTGAGGAACTACGCCCCCTGGTGGGCCTCCCACACACTGGACTGGCTGCAGTTCGGCCGGAAGGTGCTGGTGGTACATTACGAGGAGCTGAAGAGGGACCTGTTTAAGCAGCTGAAGAGGATGGTGGGCGTCCTGGGGGGACAGGTGTCCGAGGACAGGCTGCTGTGCGTCGAGTGCCAAAAGGACGGCAGCTTCAAGCGCTCGGGCCTCCGCAAGCTGGAGTACGACCCCTACACCCCCCAGATGAAGACCCTCATCTCCTCCCTCATCAAGACTGTGGACGTGGCCCTCAAACTGAGGAACATGACAGGAGTCCCAGAGGATTACATTCCCAGATGATTTTTGTTGGAGATCGCATTGAAAACACGGCGCTAGTTCCCCCTCTCTTCCCCCCCCACCCCCGACAACCCTGCCCGCACCCCCTCCTCTCCCCACCCCCACCCATCTCTCTCTCTCCCCCCACCTGCCCCCAACCCAGCTCTTCCATCCCCGCAGGGTGGCTTTCATTAGATTCGTGCAACCACCAGCTGTCAATGGACCAATGGTGTAGAGTAGACTTGCCAAGCCCAGGTGGGTGAGCAGGACAAGCGACAGACAAGGGTGTGATAGGAAGGGTGGGGGGTGGGGGTCAATATGGAATCCATACGGTCTTAGAGAAAGTCCCCCCTCACCCCACATTGTACCCTGTTGGACATCCTCAGCCAATGGGTAACGAGGCCTGAATATCCAACAAATATTCCCAGTTAAAAAGGGGTTTGATGGAGTAAAATCAAACCAAATGGTGATTACTTCACACTCAGAACAATCCATGCCATCCAGCACCATCCTTAGGAGTCTCCAAACCAGATCGAGTCCCACCGTCACACGGAAATTTCCTTATGTTGGAATGGAATGTGCATTCTCTCACTCTCCTCTCTCTCTCCTCTCTCTCTCCCCTCTCTCACCCGGACTAAGAAGCAAGAGAGAGAGAAAAGAATCCAGTGAAGAAAACAAGTCGCTTTTGCCTACCTCACGCACGACAGTCACTACACTTCAAAGTAACTCACCTGGACCAGCCTGAAATAATATCTATTGTTGTTGGGACTGAGTTGAGTTTTACCTTTTGTTGGACCGTAAATGTATGAGTCGTGCGTTCGATTTGCAAACAATCTTCACGTCTTACAGAAGTAAGGCGGACTGACGAGCCGCGAATCAGCCCCCTCCTGGGTCATCTCTTTACCCCCCCACCCCTTCCCTCTCCTCCCCTCCCCCCTTGGTCTCTGTGACTTCCCTCCTCCTCCCCACCCCCCCCCCTTAAAGAGGTATTTATTTTTCAAAAAGAGCAGTAATGTATTACGATGAATGTGGTGGTGATTATTCTGCAGAGATGAGTCTATCAATGAGCCAAAGATGGAACCTTGCGCGCGTGAAACTGTGTATGGTCTGTGTGTGGAGTCTGTGTGTGTGTGTGTGTGTATGTGTGTGTGAGGCGTGTGCATTGTGTGTGTGTGTGTGTGTATGTGTGTGTGTGTGTGCGTGAGAGGTGTGTGCACCTCTAACCACTACACTACGGGGACTCCGCAAAGTACCCAAAGTAACAAGTGCGCAGTCACTACACTTGACAGTCAAGCTGCAATGTGGGTGGCCTTATATATATATAAAACTGATATGTAACTAAATTAGGGGAAGATCAGTTGCATCGAAGGCCACTTAGAATCCCGCAGTTGCTGAGCAACGAAAGCATTGCTTCTCCAAAGAATGTGGGGAGAGAGAGAGAGATCCTCGGGAGTGCGTAGCAAACTGGAGATTACACAGTCGTGTACAAAGGTCCCTGAATAATTGAAGAGCCAACATTGCTGGTTAAGGGAAGCAGATAGCTCCAATGCTTATGTAGTCATCTTGTGTTAAGGAAGGTGTTTTTTTTGGGGGGGAGAATGAATTCACGAGAGGTCGCCTTAAACTCTCCATTTATCATAGCCGTGTACAAAGCAATCCCCTTGTTCCCATTACTTGTGCGGTTAATTGACTTGCAAGTTGCAGGGGTCTGAACTGACACTGTGCCATCAGGTGGTATAAGGAGGAGCAAAGAGAATGTAATCCGTCAATTGGATCATTCTTTGCCAACCTGGACAGCGGTGGAGTCCTGTAGGGCAGCGGTTAGTGTAGCTCGTGGATCGAGTGTCCAAAATCTTAATTTTTTTCATTATGGAGGGAATATTAGGCCCAGTAAAGCCATCCACCCATCGACTAGCAACCAGGTTCCTACTGACTGCTGGTAAACAGAGGTGTGTGTGTGTGTGTGTGTGTGTGTGTGTGGAGTAAGGAAACTTGCCTAAGGTTTCGTCCTGACCTGATGCGCCCGGGAATCGAACCCGGGTCCTCTCGCTTGCGAGTGTCTTCCGAAGAACGGCACCTCGCGACAATGCAACCCGCCCCCGCTCCCCCCCCACCACAAGCTGCGTTGGAGCGTCAGCATAGACGTGTGTGTGTGTCTGTGGGGGTTTGAACCTACAAGCTCTGACTCAAGAAGCGAGAGCACCATCCACCGAGCCAGGCTACGATGGAGGCGTCTGAAGGCATTCGGTGAGATGCACACAGCAAGGAGAATAACATCATGGCGGACTGTCAGGCTCCGCAGTGCCATTGTGTGTGTGTGTGTGTGATTTGTCCTGTGGGACCTCACACGCAGACCTGGAGCGACAGAGAAACAACGGAGCTCCGGTTGCAGTCGGCTCCTGTTTCTCTGCCCTGAAACCTCCAGGGCAGCTTAAATGTCAAAACATGTCATCACTTAAATATTAGACGCCGGGTATTTGAAAGCTTACAGTGGGAGCCGAGCAGACGGGAGAAGATCGTCTTCCGAGAGAGACCCATTATCATAAGACTCATTATCTCATTAGGGCTTCCAACACCTGTTTCCCTTCCTCCCAGTCACTCACCTCAACAGGACCGTGTCACACGGGAGGTCAGTGGGAGGGAGGGAGGGAGTGGGGAGAGGAGAGAGGTTGTGGGGTTGGGAAGGGGTTTGAGGAGGTGTTGAGAGGGAGGGGGATTGAAATCAGCTGAATTACTTACCCCCCACCCACCAAGTCTCACCATTTGGCTCCATCTTGGAGTCCTGCAGCACACAGCGGTTAGTGCACTTCACAGAATATACCGTAAAGTGTAATGACTGTGTATTCTGTGGGTGAAACTCTGGCAGCCAATTATAATAATAATAATAATATTCCTTGCATTTGATACAGCGCCTCATCACGTCTTTGAGACATCTCAAAGCGCTTCACGGGATTTACTGCGAAGCGCAGTGACTGTGTATTTTGTGGGCAGAACACGGCGGCCAATCGCGCACAGCAGCGTCCCCACAAGCAGTCGCGGATCGAGAGACCGCATTTTATTTTGAAGGAATTGTTACCCCCGGAAAAGTGATCCACCAATCAACTAACAACCGGGTTCCTACTTCCTGGTAGATAAACAGAGGCGTGTGTGTGTGTGTGTGTGTGTGTGTGTCTGTGTGTGCGTAATAAGGACATTTGCCTAACGTTTCGCCCCCCCCCACCCCACCCCCGTCCGGGATTCGAACCCGGGTCCTCCCGCTCGCGAGGCGAGGGCTGTAACCACCGAGCTGCAAGCTTGGCGTCAGTCAATGTGAAAGCCTGGCTCTGAACAGTGAGACACAGAACATGCGTTTTCTTTCAGAGCGCTTTGACAGGCGTTGGTTGCCCTGGGATTAAACACGAGGTTTCGAAGCTAATTTCCATTCAGCGGCTAAGTGCTTGGTAAGCCAGACACTGGCGAGGAGCGCTGGGAGAGTTTTTTCAAAGATCTTTAGCAACTCACGGAAATAAATCATTCTCTGACAGGTAATAGCTATTTAAGGAACCTGACTCCATTTGCATGTTAATGTCTGCACCAACACAGCGGCTGGAAGGAGAGGAAGGGAATGCTTTGTGTCAGCCCGGCTCAGTCGAGTTGCGGGTTGTGGGTTCAAGCCCCTCACATCGGGGGACCTGGAATCACACAGACTAAGCTGACACTCTCTCGTCCTTCGGATGAGACGTTAAACCCCACTCGCTCACTCGCTACCCGTCTGTCCCCTGTTCAGGTGGATGTTAAAGATTTCTCTCTCCCGCTGAAATTCTAATAATAATAATAATAGTAATAATAATAATCCTTGCATTTGATCTGGCGCCTCACATGTTGCCGAGACGTCTCAAAGCGCTTCACGGAACATACTGTAAAGTGGAGTGACTGCGGTATTTCGTGGGCGAAACGCGGCAGCCGATCGCGCGCAGCGGCGTCCCCACAAACAGTCGTGGATTGAGTGAATGCATAATTTATTCTTTTGAAGGGATTATTAACCCCGGAAAGTGATCCGCCAATCAACTAGCAACCGGGTTCCTACTCACTGCTGGTAAACAGAGGTAGGTGTGTGTGTCTGTGCGTGGAGTAAGGAAACTTGCCGAAGGTTTTGCCCTGACCCGCCCGGGTATCGAACCCGGGTGCTCTCGTTTGCGAGACGAGCGCTCTAACCACGGAGCTACAGGACTCCACAATATTGCACAACAGTCAAAGGTCTTTTATTTATTTCTGCGGATATAATAAAATGCCCATCCTGCGGGGAAAAAAAATCCCATTAAGCAATATTCATTTAAATGACACTATTGGGCGTGTGATTGCAATGCAGAATTACATTTTGTAAAAACAAATCTTTTATTCATAACTTATAAGGACGGAGCCTTTAATATACTGTGAAGCCAGTGTTAAATGACAGGATTATATAGGTTCATATTAATCATAAATAGCCATTATATTTTGGGGTCAGGGCTGATAATGAAAGCTGTTTCGATAGGAATAGTTTATCCATGGGTTTTTCCATCAGCCAATATTCCTGATTACATCCACTACTAATCTTCTTTTCGGATATATTTGTCAGAAAGTGATTTATATGTAACTTAATAACATAATAAATCACAGCAAAATGCAACGCACTCTTTTACTTGTTCTCAGGGAATCAAACCATTTATTCCACCTATTTATTCCACCTCTAATAATAGTAATAATAATAATCCTTGCATCGGATATAGCACCTTATCATGTTGTTGAGACGTCGCACAGAAGATACTATAAAGTGTAGTGACTGATGTGTTTTGTTGGCGAAACGCGGCAGCCAATTGCGTCCCCACAAACAGCCGTGGATTGAGTGACCAATCTTTTTATTTTTTTAGAGAGCGATCCGCCAATCGACTAGCAAGCGAGTTCCTACTTACTGCTGGGTAAACGGAGGCGTGTGGAGTAAGGAAACCTGCCTGAGGTTCCGCTCCACCCAAGTCCTCTCGCTTGTGAGGCGAGCCCGCTAACCACTCCAGGACTCCACTAAAACCTTAACAAAACGCCCACCATAAGTAGCGTTTATTGT